CATTCTTAAACCATTATCTGGTTTTTCAGAATTAACTCTGTCTTTATAAAGAAATCATGCAACATATCAACACTCTTCACAAAAGCATAAACATAAAACCATAAAGAACAAAAGTGCAAAGTTCCCATTTGCTTCCATTACACTTCACCAGACTCAGACAAGGCTAACAATCTGCTTTCTTTTATGTATTCATATTTGTTGATGTCTTCCAGAGTTTTTTTCCTTTAAACACAGAAATGGTTACACTGTATTGTTCTGCAATTTACCTTACTGTACAAAGTCTTAGAGATTTTGTGTCAGTATATATTTCCTTTTTTAAACACACAAATTCCTGTGTTTTAATTCTGATCCACTTTTCTGACCCAGAAATCATCTTTAAAAACTTAAAAAAAAAAAAATTGTGGAAAGATCCTTGGGAGGAATATTTTATAAATTCTTATAGGTCTGAACATATCTTCATGCTCCCTTTACATGTGAACATGTTGTTTAGGCATTAAATTCTTTGCCCCACTGTTTCTATTAAACCTCTTAAACATTGTTCTATTATCTACAGAGGAGAAATCTAAGGTTAACTTGATTTTTGTTCTGTCTTCATCTTATTTGAAATGCATAAAGAAGTCTATACTTGTTCTTTAAATTTTAACACTTACTGGGAAATATCTTCAAATCAGCCTCTTTTTATTCATTTAGCTTAATTTTTTTCCTGGTCTAGGAAGTTTTTTTCTCTGATGTGTATGTTAATATTTACCTATCTGCTGTTTTCCTTGAAAAAAAATCTATCATTCAAGGTTGTGTTTTAAAAGCTATTTGTAGGGGATCCCTGGGTGGCGCAGCGGTTTGGCGCCTGCCTTTGGCCCAGGGCGCGATCCTGGAAACCCGGGATCGAATCCCACATCGGGCTCCTGGTGCATGGAGCCTGCTTCTCCCTCTGCCTGTGTCTCTGCCTCTCTCTCTCTCTGTATGACTATCGTAAATTAAAAAAAAAAAAGCTATTTGTAATCTTCTATGTCAGACATTTCATTTCTTTTTAAAATTCTATCTATATTCAAGCCACTGGGTGGCTCAGTTGGTTAAATGTCTGACTTCAGCTCAGGTCATGATCTCATGGTCCTGGGATTGAACCCTGAGTCAGGCTCTGCGCTCCATGGGGAGTCTACTTGTCCCCCTCTGCCCCTTGTCCTCCTGTGCTCTATCTTGAATAAATAAAACCTTTTAGGGGCACCTGGTGGCTTAGTGGTTGAGCATCTGCCTTCGGCTCAGGTCGTGATCCCAGAATCCTGGGATCAAGTCCCACATAAGCCTCTCCCACAGGGAGCCTGCTTCTGTCTCTGCTTCTGTGTCTGTCATGAATAAATAAATAAAATCTTAAAAATAAATAAATAAAATCTTTAAAAAAAATTTTTGATCTATATTCATGGGGTGTCCCCACACTGATTTCTTCTTCCTGTGATTTCAATTTATTTCATTACCAAATCTTTTTTTCTTTCCTTCTACTGTATTCTTAGTTTTCTGCTACTCTCACCTTGGACCTATTCTTGTATAAGAATTTCCTGAAACATGTCATCAATGGAATAAGACAGGAATAAATAAAAAGGGCTCTATCAAGCAAGTGAAAAAGGCAACATGAAGAATAGTACAAAACATATGCAAATCATAGATCTGATAAGGTGTGCAGAATATCTAAACAATGCCTACAACTCAATAAAAACACCAACCCAATTCAAAAATGGGCAAAAATCTTAGACATTTCTTCAAAGAAGATACACAGCCAATAAGCTATGAAAAAATGTTTAACATTACTAATTATTAAATAAAATGTAAATCAAAACTACAAAGAGCTACACCACTTCACACCTAATAGAGGTCGGCTCTTATTAAAAAAAAAAAAGTTGGTGGGGTGTGGAAAAATCAGAACCCTTGCGCACTGGTGATGGAAATGTACAACGGCATACCAACTATGGAAAACAGTAGAGTAGTTAAACATAAAATTACCAAATGAAAATTGGTAAAAATCTGGGGTGCCTGGGTGGCTGAGTCAGTTAAGCATTTGATCTTGATTTTGGCTCAGGTCATGATCTCAGGGTCTTAAGATCAAGCCTCACTTTGGGATTCCCGCTGAACATGGACCCTGCTTAAGATTCTCTTTCCCTCTCCCTCTGCTCTGCCCCTTTCCACATAGCCTCTCCTACCACCCACTTGGGTGTGCTCTCTTTCAAAAGAAATCACAAAAAAACAAAAACTCTCTTCTTAAAAAGAAAATTGGTAAAAATTTAACAAAAAAATTAAATATAAAATACTATAGGATCCAACAATTCCACTTATGGGTATATACCCCAAAGAACTGAAAGCAGAGGGGCACCTGGGCGGTTCAATGGTTAAGCACCTGCCTTTGGTTCAAGTCGTGATCCCAGGGTCCTGGGGTCGAGTCCCGTATCAGGATCCCCAGAGGGAGCCTGCTTCTCCCTCCACCTATGTCTCTGTCTGTCTCTGTGTGTCTCTCATGAATAAATAAAACCTTTAAAAAAAAAAATTGAGAGCAGAGCCTTAAAGAGATTATTTGTACCTCAATATTCATAGCATTTTTCTACAATAGACAAGAAGGGGTAACAACTCAAATGTCCATCAACATTTGGAAAATAAACAAAATATTATAAATACAATGAAATATTTAGCCTTAAAAAGGAATAAGATTCTGAAACATGCTACAACATGGATGAATCCTGAAAACATAATGCTAAGTGAAGTATGTCAGAAACAAAAGAGTAAATATTACATGATTCCACTCAAAGGTATCTAAAATAGTCAAATTCATAGACAAATTAGAATGGGTGCCAACAGTGCAGTTTGCAAACATGAAAAAATTCTGGCGGTGGACAATGGTGATGGCTGACGGACAATATGAATGTACTTAATCCCTCTACATTGCACATTAAAATTATTAAAATGGTAAATTGTGTGTATTTTGTCACAATAAAAAAGTTTAAAATGAATAAAAATAGAACTTTTTACTGGCTAACTGCAGAACTATGATATGGTGGTAGCAATAAGATACTTAGCAGAATGATAACCTCACTTTCCTACCCATGTTAGAGAATTCATTAGAATATACTCCCTTCTTTCAAAGGCCTTCCCAAAGGGAAGTAGTGATTAAGGAAAGCCAAGTTTTCATGGAAGTGAGGTATTCCCAAAGAAGTTGAGGCTGTAAGTAAATTTCTTAGAAACACAGTAATTCAAAATTACACAGTATGTGAGAATATTTGGGTTGAATACAACAAAGATGAGAATACAGGGCCATTCAACTGGAAGAGGAGGGGTAAGACTGAGAATTAAGAAAAGAAGGGAAGGAAGCTGGTGAGATGATTCAATCTAAAGAACCTCACTGTTCCAAATGGATTTGCTTTGTTATGGTACAGATAGAGTAAACCGTCACTGAAGACTTGCTAGTTGTCAGTCACTGTTCTAAGCACTTTACATACATTACTTCATGTTTTAACAAAATTGGCCTTGGTGACTCTGGCTGAAACCAAATTTCTGCTCTTTTTAACTAAATGAAAAGGTTAACTTAATATTCAAATAGTAGGGCAGCCCGGGTGGCTCAGCGGTTTAGCATCGCCTTCAACCCAGGGCCTGATCCTGGAAACCCGGGATCAAGTCTCCCTGCTTCTCCCTCTGTCTCTCCCTCTCTCTCTCATGAATAAATAAATAAAATTTAAAAAAATTCAAATAGTATAAATAGTTCTAGCTATGGCTTAGATTTCTGAAACCAACTGTTTGCAGATATTTAAGGGGAGTTTTTAAATTACAGTTAATTTCCCCTAAATAGCATTTCTCCAATATCTTAAAACATGCATATATAAATGCATAAAAACTGTATTATTGAGGAGGAGTAGATAATCATAGACTTTAACCACTGGTTGTCCTTATATTATTTTACTTTCTAGTCCTTCTCCCATCCCCAACTCCCATCTCTTCTGTGAAATGTAAGTAATTTTATTGGTATTTTGGATTATAAAAAAAAAAAAATACATGTTAGCATCTAAAAATATATACAAAATGTAAAAACATCTAAAAGTCACCTCAAATGGCTCTTTGCATGAACAATCATAGTATGAATTACTCACAGATAATAAACGACCTAAAATACAGTGCAAATTAATCAATAATAAATGATATACTAACATTTCAACCTAAATTTCTTTTGCTAACTGAAAATACCTATTTCATAAATAGTTTTAGTTGTAATTTTCAGTAGTACCTGCACGCATCAATTTTTAAACTTTACACTTAAAGTTATCAAAGTTATCATACTGGGGTGCCTGGGTGGTTCAGTCAGTTAAGTGTCCCACTCTTGATTTTGGCTTGGGTCATGATCTCAGGGTGGTGAGATCAAGCCCTACATCAGACTCCACACTGGGTGGGAAGCTTGCTAGATTCTCTCTTCCTTTCCCTCTGCCCCTTCCCCTTTATAAAATTATCCAGAACTACAGATTTTTACCAAATGCCTTTTTATCAAGGCTATTTATTGCCTTTTAATAGTCAAAGTGTTTTTGGGAATGTGGAAAAGTACAATTCAGATTTCATTCCTTTTGTTAATGTAAAATTATCAACAACTATAAAACTCTTTGATATAGGCAAGTCAACCCTATATGGAACAGAACAAACAGCCATTAGAGCCATGCAAACAATCTAACTTGGAGGGGTTCTATAAGAAATCCACCAGTGCTGAAAATGTCTACCTTTAGAATCATCCCTTTAGGCTACTACATTATTTTCAGAATACATCTGTTAAAAGGTAAATGTTCACTAGGAAGGAATAATTATTATATGTATAAAAAGAACAACTCATAACTTCTTTAAATTTAAGGAGCATAATACACTCAGCAAAAATTAACTGGTAATTAATAAGAGTATTAAGATTCACTCTTTCAAGGAAAATAGGTAATATAGAGATCAAGTACAAAAGGGTTTATATATTCAAAGTAATGACACTTATGACTTACCTCTAAAATCTGACTGGCTCTACGTAGTGGGTACTCATCAGCCTGGACCACTGTTATCTGACTGGGAGACTGTGACAGAATGTTGGAAGAGCTAAGACAAGTCTAAAACAAAGAGAAAACAAAGTACTTTTTCTGTATATAATATTAAACACAGGCAAAATTTAAAGGTCACTAAAATACTACCTAACAGACACCTGGTCTGTACTTATGTTTGATAAGTAATCACTTAGGTTTTATAGAACCTTGTAGAAGATACTACAAGGTCAGTGGTAGAGTTTTGCGGTCATTTAAAAATTGCAGAACTTTTTTACAGGGGCCTAAAGGAATAGTCTCAGGCCTCTACAGTCACCTACAAAGTAAGACAATTTACACAATGCAAATAAAGACTAGTTGAGGTCCTAATTAAATTTAAAATAACATTTAAAAAAATAACATAAAAAATTTTTAAAACGCTTTATGAACATGGCTTACCATTTTAAAAAGTAAAATTAAAATGTATATATTCCATAAATGCTTCATTTTGATACTCTTACCTTAGACTGGCCAAGAGTTTGAAATTTTTCCCACACTATTTTATCACTTTCAAATTTTTTCCAAGGATTGTTCCATTTTTCAGAAGCTTCTTTTTCTTTCTTCTTTAAAGCAACCTGTTCATCTGTAAACAATGTCCTTTTTAAAAAAAATGTACAAAAACTGTAAAAAAAAAATCACGTAAACAAATCATGACCTTCTTAAAGAGCCCAGATTCCAACACAGATTTAATCAAAATTGTTTCTTAGGGAGATTAATTCACAAGACAGAAAAAAATTTTAAGAGATATAACACTTAACTGAACCAAACTTAGATATGGCACAAATGGATTAAAAATATTTATCACAATTAGCAATACAAATCAATTTTTTCAGAACATATTTTATATTATGCAAATTATTCTGAGGTTCTATTGTCCTATAATTTTCCTTCATTTATTACTAAGAGACTGAAAAGCTAAATCTCTGGATTCAGAGAATCCTGGAATTAATCTAACTGCAACCACTTCCTACCTATGTAATTGTGGGAAAACTGCTATTCATCTTCCTAAACTCCGTTTCTTCTTCTGTAAAGAGAATAGTGCCTATTTTATACAGGGCCTAGCACAAAATAAATATATAATAAATGTCAGCCACTATTATTCGTAACTGCTGAAAGTGAAAAAATCAAAATCTTATGTCTAAAAACTGATATAAAAACTAGGCCCCACACTGAGGGGGGGCACTTGACGGGATAGGCACTGGGTGTTATGCTATATGTTAGCAAACTGAACTGCAATAAAAAAAAATATACAAAAAAAAAAAAAACTAGGCCCCAAATCACCAATAGTTCTTTAAAAAGTCAGACATATAAATTTAAATTTCAAGAAAATTAATGAAAGCATTACTTCAACAAAGAAAGATTGCTTTTTTAACATTATCAAATAAAAGTAAACTTTTCAGATAATAAAGCATAAAACTTCATTTCCAAGTAGTTCCATCCTACTTCAGAAGTTTGATTAGTTTGATAAGCAAGATCTTATTGAAAGAAAATATACAGACTGAAATTATGATATAAACACATCAAATCTCCAAACCTTCAGATACTACTATATATTTAATTTCTCCAAACTTCTGTTACCTTAACTTCCAACATCAAATCATTCCCGATTTCTTCTACTTATCTCTTTTTCTGTATCACCTGTCTCAGCAGCATTACAAACTGCCTCACAGGACTTTCTAGTTGAGTGGAGGGTGAAGCCCATCTTTATGTTTTTTGTTTGTTTTTTTTTTACAGCTATTCTTAAGAAGTACAACTGTTACTTCACATATTTTCCAAATTCTGATACCTAGACGTAAGTCTAGTCCAAAAAGAAGAGTTTCTTAGTTATCAATATTTTAAGACCCTAACAGAAGTGATAAATTTTTCTAAGGTCTATATGCTGACAAAAGCAGTAAGCTGGTTTTTGTATGAAATATACTTAGAATATTAATGATTCTTGATGAGAATGTTTTAAAGAATGAGCTCAATTATTTTTATTTTTATTTATTTTTTAAAGATTTTATTTATTTATTCATGAGAGACACAGAGAGGCAGAGAGAAGCAGGCATGCTGTGGGAAACTCCATGCAGGACTCGACCCCAGGACCCTAGGACCACACCCTGAGCCATCCAAACTCAATTATTTTTAAATAAAACCATCTTTAAATCCATAGAATTTCTAGAACAGAAAAAGATGAAAATGGATTCTCACTCAGGAAATGAGAAAAGTTAGGAATCTTTGAGCTCCTGAGTGATACTGATGACATTAATGCTCAGTGCTCACCTCTGGTCTTCTGGTATACACCAAGAGACTACCAGACAAAAAGACACAATCTAAAGGAATGTAAAACCACAAAGCTTTTTCTTTCTTTCTTTCTTTCTTTCTTTCTTTCTTTCTTTCTTTCTTTCTTTCTTTCTTTCCTTCCTTCCTTCCTTCCTTCCTTCCTTTCCTTCCTTTCTTTCTTTCTTTCTTTTTTTAAGATTTTTATTTATTCATGAGAGACACACAGAGAGAGAGAGAGAGGCAGACACAAAGGCAGAGGGAGAAGCAGGCTCCATGCAGGGAGCCCGACGTGGGACTCGATCCCAGGTCTCCAGGACCACACCCGGGGCCAAAGGCAGGCTAAACCTCTGAGCCACCCAGGCTGCCCCCACAAAGCTTTCTATGTATTACAGCAAACTACTAGATGGCAAATGTTATAAAACAAGATTTTTCAGAATATCATACTGAAAGATATATTTCAACCTCAATGTAGATTCCTTAAGGCAACCAACCTGTAATAAAAAGTATAGTAATTACCTACCAAGCTCTTTCTTCCACTGGGCTTTTTTTGCTTCCAACAAACTTCTATCACGTTCTCTTTCCCCCAGAGTACTGAATATGTCAGCTGGTTTCCATACATTCTCTCTAAGACAATACAAAAAATAATAGAAATCTTATGTTTCTACACAAGGTACTCCATAAATATTAATAAACTTAAATAGCTCTTAGTCTTCAGAGTATTTTACATGAAAGGCAAGGAAAAGCAAAACCATTTTCATAAGATGATTCCACAATAATAGATATGAGTTACATACATGGCAATTTTCTGCTCATACTGCTTAGATGTCTCTTGATTTTTATTTAAAGTGGATTTATTTTCATCCAGGACAGATGAAAGAGCCTCAGTTTTTTGGAATACTCCCATTATGTTCTCATCCTTTGACTGATTGGAAGTATTGTTTAAATGTAGACTGTCTTGACCTGGGAGGTAAAAATACAGGTTTTAAAATTAACACTAAAAGTGCATGTATTACAAGAACTTATTTTGGCATACTGCTACATACTTTAAAAACATTGCCAGAGTTATCACCTCTCACAGCAGTCCTTCAGCGGGAATTACGACTCCCTTTCGTCAAAAGAGGAAATTGAGCCCAGAGGTTAAATGGTCCAGAGATATGGCTATTGCTATATAACCTCTTCTGTCTAATAAGAAAACAAATAAGCAACAACAAAAAAACTCCCATTCATCCTAACAATATTTTTACAAATAAAACACAAATCACAACTTAAAGAATAAATGCAAATAGATCTATGAAAAACTCATTACCTTGACCTGATTTTTCTCATTTAGATGGGAAATAAATGGAAAACTTTTTTATGGACCACTGTCTCTATGCCTCCGTTATCTCTCTTCCAAATGTTTCATATACAGTCTCCTATGCCTGGCTCAAAAATTGTTCTAATTCTTCCTTAATGTGCTAGTTTTCCCAATGAAGAGAAAGTATACTTAATATGCATGTCATTATATGAATAGATAAAAATCTGCCTTCAACTTTGTTGATATTCTCACTCACTATACGTAGTTAAGTTTTTACTTTTTGCTCTCTAGGCTATAATTCTAGCATTAAACACTCAGCTCCCTCATTTTACAAAGAATAATCTAGACCAAGACAAGATAAATTCCTCCAACTTGAATACCTTGGGAGTGTACAGAAGCTACCTGGTCCCCATATCAGTTGTGGAGCCTCTACCTGGTGACTATTAATGTTATTTTTATTTATTTCATTACTGCCTAACAACAAATTTTTTTTTTTTTGCCTAACAAAAATTTTAATGACATTTCTACTCATATTAATTCCTTATCCCAAAGCTAAGGAAATCAGAAGGCTTTTAAAAATATAAAACAAGGGATCCATGGGTGGCGCAGCGGTTTGGCGCCTGCCTTTGGCCCAGGGCGCGATCCTGGAGACCCGGGATCGAATCCCACATCGGGCTCCCGGTGCATGGAGCCTGCTTCACCCTCTGCCTATGTCTCTGCCTCTCCCTCTCACTGTGTGCCTATCATAAATAAATAAATAAATAAATAAATAAATAAATAAACAAACAAACAATGCCCTGACTAATGAAAAAGAAGACACATAACATACTTCTACTCCTTCCAAGTCTGTATTTTATATTGGTTAAAAAGATAATAAAAAAAAAAAAAAGATAATGCTGACAATCCTCAGCATGGATTAAGGGTCAGGAAAAGTACAATGAAGGCATCAAGAAAATAATCTTTTTTGGCAACCCAAATCAAATATTCAAGTTAAGGTTCTTTTAATTTTGACTAGGAACATTATAGTGATATTTTAGCACATTTTATATAATTATTTTTCATGTAAGTGAAGCCTCCTACATTTATTTTGTATTTTTATTTTTTTTAAGATTTTTATTTATTTACTCATGAAAGAGACAAAGAGAAGGTAGAGATAGGCAAAGGGAGAAGCAGGCTCCCCGCAGGGAGCCCAATGCAGAACTCGATCTTGGAACTCTGGGATCATGTCCTGAGCCGAAGGCAGATGCTCAACTGCTGAGCCACCCAGGTGTCCTTGCCTTCTACATTTTAAAATAAGCACAATAGCTTTTTGTATGAAGATCTTTATAGCGTTCACAGAGTTGGGTTTCTTAAGGCTATGGTACCATGGTTGTTATATTCTGATCATTAACCTTAAAATATAGCACATTGTAGCTATAAAAGTAATTTTGCATGAGAATGTTCTCTGAAGAGTAATTATTTTTTACAGTGTTACATGGTAAATTAGAATTTCAGACACATAGTTATGTAAAATCCAAAGAATAAGAAATTCTAAAACACTGGTAAAATTAATATTAATTAAAACTTCAGAAAAACCTTACTTGTTTCCTCCTTTCCATTTTCAATCGCGGAAATAGACTTATTTCCTTGGTTCATAGTCATTAAAATCTGTTGTAGTTGGTCTTGTGTTAGACACACCAAACCGCTCTTCGTATTTTCAGCTGTGAAGTGCTTTTTGCAATGCTTCTGCTTAGCTACTACAGAGGTATTTATGGTGTTTCTAGTCTTCTGTGTAGTGGGGGTTGCAGGTGAAATCTCTTTCTGGACATAAAGACAGTCTTTATCTACATACTGCTTGCATAAATCCTTAGTGGGTGAAAAAATCATGCTACTTTTTTCACCTTTTGCCAGTGAAGTTTCTGAACCCATTCTCTTCTTTTGCAAAAGTTTTCCACTCCTGATACAAGTATTTTGTGTTGATTTTAGAATGTATCCAGTCTGTTTTGTTCTTATAGGACATTTTGCAATCTTGTTCTTACTTCCCATCTGTTAAAACACCAAAAATTTATTCTTTATAACAGCCACTGAAAAATCAACACTTATCATTATATCATCTGTCATGTCAGGCCTCTAAACATTTTGCATTTTGCTGGTAAGACATGCACGATACACTAACATTTAACCTTTGCACATCTTTACTTAAAAGCTTCAACAACTGGAAATTATCATTTTATTTAGACATAATAAAGAATTTTTATTCTTGCTGCTATAGGACATCTCCATTCTACTCCAGTTTTGAATTTCATGTCATGATTATACCACTCAGACTACCTCTTTTCTTTATAGGTATCTATAGACCTGTAACTTAGTTATTTCTTGAATAACTTGTAGGTCAATATCCCTCTACCATAATTCCTATCTTAATTATTAGTGCTTTCATATCCACATAGATCATTCTTCCAATTCCCTGGCCTCTCATTTCCTTGAACTCTGCTCCTTTTTTTTTTTTTTAAGATTTTATCTATTTATTCATGAGAGACATAGAGAGAGAAACAGAGACATAGGCAGAGGACGAAGCAGGCTCCTCGCAGGGAGTCCAATGCAGGACTCAATCCCCAGACCTGGGATCATGTCCTGAGCTGAAGGCAGATACTCAATCCCTGAGCCACCCAGGTGTCCCTTAAACTCTGCTCCTATACTCTATAGGAGTATATCTCAATTACTCATTCTCATAGTGATAGTTCATACTAATCTTGTAACTACTGCTCACTGTAATCCCTCCATAACCTCAAGTAGGGCACAATGACTACTACCTTTTTTTTTTTACCAGCTTAATTCCTTGCATATCCCAATTCTGACAATTCTTTTATTCAGCTGGAATCTATATTTATCCTACCACTTTCCTCGTGTCTTCATTTCCTTATCAATCTTAAATTCCATGATCAACCAAAACCACCACCATCTTCTATTGTCAACTGCTCTGCTCTGACATACATGCTTTGCAAATCCCCAGACTGAGAAAATCTAACTCTTCACCTACTCTGTGCCTGCACTCAGAAGAAAAACACAAAGCCAAAGCAACTAATTTCACCTTAAATACACAACCCAAAACAACAAAGAGGCCCTTCATGCTACCTGGCATTTCACAAATTCATTTACTCTTAGTCTTTTAACAATTTCAACTTTCTCCTCTTTCCCAAAACTCCAAACACTTTCCCCTTTCACTTATTCTCAGCTGAAGATCTTGATCACTATTTCACTGAAAATCTTATAGAAAAGTAAACAGAAAAAACTTCAAATTTCTATTACTAAACCTGTACCAGCACTAGTACTCATACAAATCGCTTATACTTGTTACTCATAGATATTCCCATAACCCTCTCTTTCTAAAGGATCTTTCTCTAGCATTTCTTGCTTTCTCCTGAATCACCAACTGTTTCTTTCCTGCTAGACCACATCTTTATCATCTTTAAAAATACATGAACACTTTCTCCTCTCATCTTCCACAATCCCATTCCAGTTAGGCTTTCACCCATATCTCTCCACCAAAACTGCTCATCAAGGTCATTAATAACTTTTCACACTGCAAATTCAGTGACTGATTCTCAGATCATCTCACCAGACTTATTAGCAGCATGTGACTCAGTTGATTATTCCTCCCATTTTGAGTCACTTTCTCTACTTGATTTCCTGAGGACTCCACAATTCTGGTTCTTGCTGTTCCTACTGTCTTATTGGCTCTCTTTCCCCCAGACCTCTTGAAGTTGCTTAGTCCCAGGACCTCTTAGCTCTAATTTACTTCATTCACTTGCTAATTTCACTTACCCTTGTGGTTCTAAATATTATCCATATACTGATGACTCCTAACTAAACTTGTCTTCAGTCAGGATGGACCTCTCCTCTAACTTGAGGTTCCATCTGCCTATCCAAACACTTCCACTTGGATTATTACTAGCCATTTCAAACAGCATGCCCAAAACCAAACTCTTGATTTCCTACATACCCCTAAATAACTTCCTCCCTTCAATTTTTCCCATCTCAGCCCCCCATGCCAAAAATTTTGAAATTATCGACTATTCTCTCATATGCCAACACGTCATCAAACTTTGTTTTGCTCCATCCCCAAAATATATCCTAAATCTGACCACTCCTGAACAACTCTTTTGCCACCCCTCTATTCCAAAATATTAGCTCTTGCCTGAAAAGCCTTCTGATTTTCTTGGTTCCGCCTCTGCTATCTAGTCTCTCAACACAACAACCACAGTGAGTACCTTAATAGGTTAACTTAGATGTCACTTTCTACAAAAGCTTCTAATGGTTTCCTAGCTTGCTTAGGAGGAAAAATTGAACTTCATACTATGACCAAAAAAAAAAAAAAAAATTAACAATCTGTGCACCCTTCATGCTTTATCACCTCATCTGATCTCATTTTCTATCTTAGCCACGAGCCATATTGGCTTCTTCACTATTCAACAAGAACCTTCAATTTTAGGCCTTAGCACTAGTCAATCCCTCTAACTGGGACATTCCTCCTTCAGATTCTACATGGTTTGTGCATTCACCTCCTTCAAATCTTTCCTCCAACATTACCAACTCAGTAAGGTCTTTCTTCTCTGATCACCCCATTTAAAACAGTAGGTTTTCTGTTCTTTGTGTGTGTGTTGGGGGGGGGGGGCGGGTTGCAAGTTTCCTGTTCCACTCTCACACTTCTACCTACCTAGCACTCCCTTTTCCAAAGACTGCTGTTCCCCTGAAGTGACTGTGCCTCTTCCCTTTCTCTATTCCTCTATAGCACTTTTCATCTTGTAACATTCTATATTTATTCTGCTTATTGTATGTCAATTCAACTCCTTTCAAATGTAAACACCCTAGGGTAGAGATTTTTGTATATTTTATCTATTGCTATAACCCCAATAGAGAATAGTAAATGGAACAAAGTAGGTGTTCAGTAAATTTTATTATCCTCAATGATACTATTTTAAAAACTGAATTCTATGTTTGTTCCCTGTTCCAAAATGTCCCATTTCTGTGGCACTGTTGATCTAACATCTCCGATCGGTAAGCATAGTCATCTTTAACTTCATCCTCCTTGGTCTTCTTTACCTCACATGCAAGTATTGGTCTTTTCTTCCTTTCAGATATCTTTTTCTCAACCATTTACATGATGATAAGCCTAAACTTAGGTTTTCATTACCACACTACTAGATTACAGCCTGTTTATATCTTTCCTCTATTTAATCTACTGTACCTTTTGGCAAATCTAATTAACATAATTAAACAGTCATTCAATCAATATTAACTGTTGCTTTTTGTATGCTCACAAATATGGAAAAGTGCTGGGTGTAAAGATTAATAAAATACTTGCTCAAAGAGTAAGGTAGATACCACATGACTTACCCAGCTTATGATATCCCAACTCTCCTTGTCTTTCAGTAACTTACATGATATACAAAAACATTTTGACCAATTAGCCAAATTCATTTCACCTCACTTTTCAAAATGTACCTGTACTATGAGCTACTAGATCTGTTTATTCTCATCTTCATCTCATCTACATCCCATTTGTTCCTGGCTTTAGGCTTTTGATAATATCAATACACTATAAAATGCCTTTTTACCCTCCCAATTTGTGGCTGTTTAAAAAAAAAATTTTTTGGGGGGGGGACTAAGGGGGGAAGGAGAGTCTCACACAGACTCCCCACTGAGCGTGGAGCCCCAACATATGGCTTGACCTCATGACCCTGAGATCAGGACCCAAGTGGAAACCAAGAGTGGGACACTAAACTGACTGCACCACCAGGCACCCCTGAGGCTATTTTATGTAATATAACTAATCCTCTAAGAGAGGAGTGGCAAACTCAAATACCTACTATAAATTACTCTGTAATGAGCTGGTTCTTATGCTCTGTAAGAACTGGTTTGAGCTGAAGAACATTTTTTCCACTTAAAGGAGGCAGGCATTCCTCAGAACCAGCCTATACTGCTATATAGGAATCTGAGACTACTTGCTATATCATCCAGTATTTCAGGGAAACCAAAAACGTCAGATTTTACTTTAAATTTTCCAATTTTTAGATACTGACAACTCACTCCAGTTTTTAAAAACCACTGTGTGGATTAAGCAATTATCAGCAGATACACATAGCTTATATAGCTGAGCCCTACCACCTCACTCTCTACAGCTCCTACCATGTCACTTTTCTTTGGCTCATACTAGCTTTTTGGGTCACTCATAGTTGAGCATTTCATTTCTCTAATCAGCTGCTTATCCAAACTGTTAAAAAGTACAGTGCATGCCATTAACATATCTTGAAAGTCTCTCATTTCTGTCCCATTTTATTCATTTCACTAACCACTACACATGTTCAGGAACTTATAAGACTCTCCTTGAACTATAACTGGCTCATAACTGGTCTCCCTTTTACAATTTGTCCTTCACCTAACTGTCCAAAGTCCTATCCTACACACAAATTATACTATACAGACTCAATACTTTAATCCTCCCTACACAAAAACCGAGGAGTTCAAACTCTTTAAATATACATTTGAACTCTTTAAGACTGTAATCTACTCCAAGTTTTATGCTCTGTACTTCCCCAAGATATGTACTATTCCCCAAATGCAAATTATGCTATCTTGGTGTTTTGCCCACTATTTTCTGAGCTTAGAATACACTCCCCTACCTCCTTACCTATAAATACCCGCCTCATTTTTAAGTTCTAATTAAAATGTCACCTCCTTTTACGAAGCTTTCCCTAGTCTCCTCACACCACAAAGAGCTGCTCTTTGCAGTGCTCTCTGCCTTTTATAACCCTACCATGGCATATTTACATTCTACTTGTATTACACAGTTATTTACCTGATACCCCCACTTCCAGAAAATAAGGCCTAGGTTTTACTCTTTTTCTCTCAGTCAAGGAAGAATTACAGTCAAGAATGGCACTCCACTAAAACTTTACAGCTTCAATAAATCATTGTTAAACAGAAACCTACTAATTGGAGCTCTAAGTAGATTTATCTAGTTACATTCCACTTACAAAAGAAAAAATACACCAAAAAATCTTCTAAAAGTATTTAATTAAGGGGGCAGGAGGGTGGGCAATGACCTGGCATGAGGTCAACATACATTCATTCAGCTCAATTCTGATTACTTTGGGGGTAGGGGGCAGTGCAGAGAAAGAGGGAGAATCCCAAGCAGGCTCCATGCCTAGCTTGGAGCCCAATGCAGGGCCTGATCTCACAACCCTGAGATCATGACCTGAGCCAAAATCAAGAGTGGGATGCTTAACTGACTGAGCCACCCAGGCAGCCCCTGATTACTTTTTGTAGCTAAACACCAGGAAAAAAAAGAAAAAAAAAAAAAAATGAATGGAGCTAGCAAAAGATCATGAACTACTAAATATTCAATTATACTCAGATTACTTAATAATAGAAGCAATCTAGCCTAAATAATTCCCCAAGTATTTACTGGATCAGATGAATTTTTAACAGCTCAAAGAGTCTTCATGTCATAAACATTTTTATATAGCAAGTTGCTCTTTTAGCTAATTTTAATTCTACCAATGTTTTTCAAAATATAAACAATGTCCAATGCATTTGTTTAATACTGACTGAGTTTACCATTTATATGGAACCAAGATCCCAAGGCCAGAAAGAAGCAAAGTATTTTAAAATATAAAATATGATACCTAACACTAATATTGTATACATCCTTTAGTGTGTCACTACTCTGATTCTCTCATGTAGAAATACCTGTGGGGAAAAAAATCTTTTAATGTTTTCTATTTCCACAAATTTGTGAGAATTTTAAGCATAAGAGTTTAGAATTTGTAAATTACTCATGACACTGAACCATTAATATTTCTTTCATTTCTCCTTCTATAAGTTTAAGAAATTAAGCTGTTAGCCATCTTTACTTCTTATTCCTTACCACAGATTTTAAAAATTGCAGAAGGGATTTTGAAAAGTAAAGAACGTACTCTGACCACACGTGTTAAACTTGATGATGAAGGGATCCCTGGGTGGCGCAGCGGTTTGGCGCCTGCCTTTGGCCCAGGGCGCGATCCTGGAGACCCGGGATCGAATCCCATATCGGGCTCCCGGTGCATGGAGCCTGCTTCTCCCTCTGCCTAAATCTCTGCCTCTCTCTCTCTCTGTGTGACTATCATAAATAAATAAATTAAAAAAAAAAAAAAAACTTGATGATGAAGAAAGTTCAGTTGTGTTTAAAGAGCATACTATGACGATGATAGTAATTCAACCTGTGAGAAAAGGGAAAAACAGAACTGTAGGTAGATGCTGTAGTCACTCAGGAACTTCGCCCAGTAGAAAAAGAAAAGCACTATGAAAAAAGAATCCATCAATAACTTATGGAAAAGAGAATCCAACATATAGCTGCAGAACTGAGATTTGGGAAATTAAAAAACAGATTTAAGCAAAAGGAAAAAGACAAGCGCTACTGTTTTTGTCTTCTGTAAAGAGCAAAGAAAGAAATGAGGAGGATCTTAGCAACTCCGATAAATAAGGGAAGAGAAGCTCCTTGAAATAAAATCAATAGAGAAGGGAGACTTAAATTGTATCAGTATTTTCTTACAGCTTTATTAAGTTATAATTGACAATTATAAACTATTTATTTAAGGTATACAATTTAACATATGCATACACTGTAAAATAGTCACCACAATCAAGTGAATAACATATCCATCACCTCACATAGTTACCAGCATCAGTATTTTGAAGTCCTCAAAGCAAGAAAAATAAAACGAAACAATTTGCTCTAAGACAGTAAATAAAGATCAACATCAGCTGACACATTATTCTGGAAAAGAATCCTAGGATAAAATATTTCTAGACTGTTAATATAAATCTTTAAGTTCAAAACTAGAAGATCACCACATATTCTAGGTTGGTTACAAAAACAATGAAATGTCTTCACAAACGTGGTGACTAAAGCAAATGCATTAAAGACATCAATGCAAGGGGATAAAAGTGAGAGAGAATAGAGCCGAGGAAGATGGAAATCAACTATAACAAGCAGCTTTTTATCTAAGATCTCAAAAACAGGTGCTGTTTTTGTTAATGTAAATCAAATAAAATAATGAGTTCCAATATTTTAAGAGTAGGACCTTGGACACCTGGGTGGCACGGTGGATTAAGCATCTGACCCTCGGTTTCAGATAGGTCATGATCTCAGGACCGTGAGGGAGAGCCACAATCCTCATGTGGGGCTCCACACCCAAGTGTGGAGACTGCTAACAGTCTCTTCTCCCTCTGTCCCTCCCCCTCTAAAGTAAATAAATAAAACTTAAAAAAAATTTTTTTTTTTTAAATAGTGCAGGAACAGGAAAAAAATATACTATTCATATTGTGACTAAAAAAGCACCCAAGAGGGATCCCTGGGTGGCGCAGCGGTTTGGCGCCTGCCTTTGGCCCAGGGCGCGATCCTGGAGACCCGGGATCGAATCCCACATCGGGCTCCCGGTGCATGGAGCCTGCTTCTCCCTCTGCCTGTGTCTCTGCCTCTCTTTCTCTCTCTGTGTGTGACTATCATAAATAAAAAAAAATAAAAAAAAATAAAAAAATTTAAAAAAAGCACCCAAGTTATATGGCTATATACCATATTTGGAAAATAACTTTTATAAAGGGCAGCATATGGAATTACTCTGTATCATCACCCATTTATGCTGGATACTCAAGCAACTTCACTTTGATTAAACCTGGAAAAAATAGCAAAGCCATCAAGAGCTCAGAGGTGGAAAATGCCACATCATCCAAATTGAGCTCTATTCAAGAAACACAAAGACTAAGATGCTACAAAGAAAAAAAAAAGATGCTACAAAGATATGAGGAAAAGGAGGGCTACAGTTAATAATGGAAGGGTTGAAATTTCTGCTGATATCAATCTAAAACTGGAAAAATAGGGAACAAGAAAAGTAGGATATCGAAAAGTTGTTAAAGTGGTAATGTATTTTGTTGAAAAAGGCATTTTGGGCTCCTGAGAAAAATAATTTAAAAGGAAAACTATCATTAAGCTCAAGTACGATCTATTAAGGAGAAAGCAAAACGCATGTACAAATTTGTGAATCAAATACAGCATTTTGGTGTGGGAAAATGGAATTTGAGTATGAAAAGAAAAATATTTTCATCTCAGGAACTGCACTGTCCAGCAGAGTACTAAATTTATTTTTTAAATTAAAACTTCACTTCCTTTGTCACACTAGCCACATTCTAAGTGCTCAGTAATCAAACATGACTAGTGACTGGCTACCATCTCGGAAAACACTGATCTTAGGACAGTTCCACAGTTCCATCATCACAAAAACACTTACTGGACAGCACTGAATTAGAGAAAGAGGTTCTGTATGGCTTTTTAAACTGAAAAATTATGATTCCTTTTCTATGAAAGGACCAACCTGAAATCAAAAGAACAGTAACTTCTCACACCCTTTAAAATATATTGACAGGAATTATTTTTAAACCACTGTAAAGAAAACCACATTTTACATTCAAAAACAGTTCAGGTCATTTGGCTTACCTTCACAGAATTTTTTGATTTACATTCTACAAAAGAAAACAATAATTACTGGACTATCAACAAAAACATACTAAGGCAATTATAAAAGAAATTTTTAATTAGCATGGTTTTAAAAAGATATTTAGCAGAAATATTAACCCCCAAAGCATTAACTTTAGGTCCTATTTGAGTGTTCTAACTTTTACAGTGTAGTTCAAGTATTCCTATTTCATTTGTTTATTTTCCAAGGTAAAACTATAAACAGATTAGAGAAAAAGAAGATGAGAATGAGAGGATTACCATAGTATACTGAGTTTTAAAACTAATACTAAAAATGACTTTAGCAACTGTGGTCTTACTACAAATTTAATTTTCTTGAGCAATACATCTTAACATGCACAGAACATAATCACATAAACCTCACCTAATTATTGATTAGGCAACATATTAAATACGAAATACACTGGAGCATTAAATTTTATGAATAAATACTGACAGTGGTAAGCAATGATGTATTCTGACTTTACTTGGCTAAAAATAAATCTGAGAAAGTTAGTCAAAAACATCTGTTCACAAAGTATCATTTAAATATTACTCTACAAGCAAAAAGTATATTAAGCTTGTATAATTTTATGTAGGAAGCTAAAAGTTAACATTTTAGATTTCTGATAACACATCATACCATATGGAGACAATATTAACTTGGTTTTTCCATCCAATAATTCAGTTTCAAGCTTTAAGCCATCTCTGTAAAATAAAATAAAGTTTGTCATTTTTAAGAAATAGCAATATTTTAAATAGAAATGGCATGCTCATTTGAATCTTGAAAGTAACTATGGTCTTTTGAATTCATATATAAATCTTGTAAATACTTTTTTTTAAATCTTGTAAATATTAAACCATTCTTTTAATAAAAAACGTTTTTCAATCCAAGATAAAACTAAGCTCTAGAAGGAGAAAAATGGGGGATCCCTGGGTGGCGCAGCGGTTTGGCGCCTGCCTTTGGCCCAGGGCACGATCCTGGAGACCCGGGATCGAATCCCACATCGGGCTTCCGGTGCATGGAGCCTGCTTCTCCCTCTGCCTGTGTCTCTGCCTCTCTCTCTCTCTGTGACTATCATAAATAAATAAAAATTAAAAAAAAAATAGGAGAAAAATGCCTGAAACTTTTTTTTTTTTTTTTAAAGATTTTCTCTTTTTTTTTTTTTTTTTTTAGGATTTTATTTATTCATGAGAGACACAGAGAGAGGCAGAGACATAGGCAGAGGGAGAAGCAGACTCCATGCAGGAGCCTGACGTGGGACTTGATCCTGGGACTCCGGGACCACGCCCTGGGCCGAAGGCAGGCACTAAACCGCTGAGCCATCAGGGATCCCCATGAAACTTTCTAATAATGCAAAGAATTCGTTATGTTTAACATGAAAAGTCATTTTTTTTAAACTTCATTTTCTTACTAGTAAGCAATAAATTCAATCATCATAGCACTACTTTAACTCTTTTTTAAAGATTTTTTGTTTATTCATAGAGACATAGGCATAGAGAGAGAGAGAGAGAGAGAGAGAGAGAGAGAGAGAGGGGCAGAGACAGAAGCAGGCTCCATGCAGAGAGCCTGACGTGGGACTCGATTCCAGGTCTCCAGGATCACGCCCCGGGGTGCAGGCGGCGCTAAACCGCTGCGCCCCCAGGGCTGCCCGCACTACTTTAACTCTTAAAACTTTTTTTTTGGCTGTTACCAAAACTCCTTACCTAAGTTACAGGAGCAAAAACATATCTAACTTTTATTAGTTTCATGATGATCTCATGACTAACCCATTCTATGGCAACCTACAGCGTTAATTTGAGAGTGAGCTATAACACTGCCACCAGGATTAACTTTTTTGAGTACAGTGACAGTTTGTTACTATCACAACAATAAATCTGTAATAAACTTTGGCTGCTCTAATTGACTTGTGTATGTCCAATGCAAGAGCGCAAAGTAACAGCAGACACTGCCAAGGAAACTTGTACATAAGATCCTAATAAAAACTCCACTGAAAACAAAAATAGTCCACATTTAATACACGGTTTCCCAAAAGCGGGGCGGGGAAGGGGGAAGGTGTGTGTCATTAAACATCAAGAGGAACAAAAATGAAGTCCAAGAGACAGAATTAAATCCAATGGGCGAAACAGAGAAGAGACACGTTGGGAAAGGTCTCCCTGGGAACACGACATTTGGCAGCGTTGCTCAGTAGAGGACATCAAAATACCTCCACTTAATTGATATAAAACACTGGGAGGAAAACGGGTTTTAAACCCTGTTGCAGGGCAGCCCCGGTGGCGCAGCGGTTTAGCGCCGCCTTCAGTCCGGGGCGTGATCCTGGAGACCAAGGATGGAGTCCCACGTCGGGCTCCCTGCGTGGAGCCTGCTTCTCCCTCTGCCTGTGTCTCTGCCTCTCTCTCTCTCATAAATAAATAAAATCTTAAGAAAAAAAAATATCTGATTTAAAAAAAATAAAAATAAACTCTGTTGCAGGGTAGCCCCAGTGGCTCAGCGGTTTAGCGCCGCCTGCAGCCGAGGGTGTGATCCTGGAGACCCGGAATCGAGTCCCACGTCAGGCTGCCTGCGTGGAGCCTGCTTCTCCCTCTGCCTGTATCTCTCCCTCTCTCTCTATCGCTCACGAATAAATAAATCAATTAATTTTTTTTAAAAAAGCCCTTTTGCGGAGTTAAGACAATTCACGTTTATGTCGGTGAATCTGAACAAACAAAAGAATGAACCCAAGAAGTAGGTCTGTTCAACATTACTGCACTGTCCACTCCCTGGGGGGACATGGTATAAAACACCAAGTTCATTTGATAAACGAGGTGCAGCTGTCGGAACTTGGGGGCCTTTTCATCTTCTTTTCATATTAAACGTCCCAGGGGAATGAAAACCCTGCGACAAACAGCCCTTTTCCTTCAACCACTACTTAACAAGTAGGGTCTGTGAGGGGCCAAGCACGGGCAGCGACCCGGTTGCTTGCGTTGGCGGCGCGAAGCGCATCTGGGCGCTCCCCACAGGCCGCAGAGAAGCGAAAGCCAGAGCCGCACAGGACCAGCGAGCGGCCTGGGCCCGGATTCCTCCCGGGAAGCCGCTAAGCTTTATATCTCTCCATCTGCCCTCCCCGCTTCTCGCCTCTTCTCCCTCTCCACCCTGAGGTCAATGTGAGGGCAGGAACCAGGTTCCGGGCAGATTTACTCCGCGTTACCATGTGGAAAGGCGATGGCGGCAGCGGCGGCCAAGGCCGAGGCCGTCCTGGGGCCCTCGCCCCCTCACCCCCTCTCCGCCTCAGGGAGCCGGGCCGCTGACGGCGGCGCAACGTGGGAAGGGGTTCCACGAAGGGCTCCAAGGGACCACCCAGCCTCACGCGCCTCTGCTAAAGACCGCTCTGCTCCGCCCGGCTTACCCCAGGTTCATGGCCTGACCTCTCGCTCTCTCCACAGGACGCTCCAGCCACCTGTGTACGCCGGTTGCCGCCGCCGCCGCCGCCGCGCAACAAGCGCTGCGCCCATTGGATACAGTGATGCCGGTGAGCTGGGAGAACGGACCAATCAGAGTTGAGCGTGCTGCCGGGTGCACTCGGAGGCGGGGCTGCGGGGGCAACCCGCCTAGTTGGCGGGGGTGGATTCGGGCGCTCTACCCTGAGGCTCTCTGGCTGGCCCTGGGCTCCTTCGTTCTACGGGGTTGTACCCCCCTCCCCCCCCGCCTCAGTTCACTCGGAGCCCTCAGAGACGTGCCTCATCTCAGGTGGAGGTGACAAAAATGTGGAGAAACAAAAAGCATAAACTTATTAAGGAACGGACATTTTCCATATTTGTAAGAAGAGAGGTTAAAATTTGGGAGTAAGGTAAGTTGGAGGGTTGGGCGTTGGAGAGAGACTCCTAGGTTGAGGACAGGATTTCTCTTGTTTGTCGCTCGGCATGAAGCCTAGTACATTAGACGTCTTTTTTTTTTTTTATTTTATTTATTTATTCACGAGACACACACACAGAGAGAGACAGGCAGAGACACAGGCAGAGGGAGAAACAGGCTCTATGCCGGGAGCCTGATGTGGGACTCGACCCCGGGTCCCCAGGATCACGCCCTGGGCTGAAGGCGGCGCTAAACCGCTGGGCCACCCGGGCTGCCCAGAACTCTTTTTTTTTTTTTTTTTTTTTTTACAGAACTCTTTTTAAATTGCAACAATCACAGGGGATCCAAGCACTTTGTCTATTATTTGAGCTTTACAAAATTATCCTTGAGGCACCGAGCTTAAGCAGCTTGCCCAAGGACTATGAAACCATTTAACCCCAGACCCGGTGTTCCCAACTAGTGTTTTACGAGTCTAACTGCGGTTCATTCTTAAAGATATAAATGTAAACGTTATTTCCTCCGAGAACCTCCTCTGGAATCCATTAGTGGGTAAATCAGGAACCTATTCTCTGCTCACCCCACCCCCAATCCCTGCCCTTTTGATCAGAGTACTAATCCACTTAAGATCCTGTGTCAAGAGTGAGCTTCAGAGGGGCAGGCGGTTGGTGTCTTACATACCTCCATAGGTGAGCGCCTGACACTGAAGGGTGTAGACAGTAAATAATTGATAAATGAAAGAACAGTAAAAAGTAAAAAATGTCACCAACTTTACTAATTTTTTCTGAATGCTATTTTGTGCTGAGGATTTTTTTAAAGATTTTATTTATTTATTAATGAGAGACACAGAGAGAGGCAGAGACATAAGCAGCGGGAGAAGCAGGCGCCCTGTCTGGAGCTGGATGCAGGACTTGATCCCAGGACCCCAGGATCCTGAGCCAAAGGCAGATGCTGAATCACTGAGCCACCGGGTGCCCCCTTGTGCGTGTGTGTGTGTGTGTATGTGTGTGTGTGTGTTTTAAGGATTACTTATATATGCATAGAAAAAACAAAAGACTAAAAGGATTTAAACCAATACTTTAACAGGAGTATTTCTCAGAGATACAGCTGTGTGACTTTAAAAATGTTACCTTGTTTCTAACT